ACTAATGCATGAAAATCCTAACCTCAAAAAAATCACCCGTTATGTACGAGTAGAAACAAATATTTATTAATTTTTTTCTTTTATTAAATATAATTTTCCGATTTTATTGTTTTAATTTCATTTAATTTTTAGGAACTTATATTTTTTTCTTCTTTAATTAATTTTCTTTTAATTTTTAGATTTAATTGTTTCGAAAAGAAGAAGATATTTTTTAAGTTTCATATAATTTTCAGGAACTAATTTTTTTCTCTTTTGATTTTTACGTTATACTGTTTTAAAAATAAAAAAAAATATCTCTTTTTATTTTAATTTTCTTTGAACTTTTAGATTTTATTGTTTTAAAAAGAAAAGTATTTTTTTAATTTAATTTAATTTTTGGGAACAAATTCATTTCCTTTGTTGATTTTTAGGCTATCTACATACAAATTCTATTTTAGAAATAAAAATGTTTTTTTTTTAATTTTATTTGACTTTTTGGAGCTTATTATATTAATTTTTTTTCTTTTTCAAATTAGTTTTTGGATTTTATTGTTTTAAAAGAAACATTTTTTTTTTTGTACGAGTAGGTACAAATATTCTATTCATATAAAATTGTCTGTCACTAGTGGAAGCGACTATTTCCTGCTGGGTCTGGATGGATTATTGTAAGGAAAGCAATAAAGGCAAAGCAAACATTGCGGAAGTGCGTTTGTATGCGTAAACCTAAGAGTATATTGAATCGGGTTAGGCTTATCAAATTCTAGTGGAGAAGGCAGCACTGAGAACTCATGCAATTGTGCGTGAAAGCAATTTTTAAAGCATTAAAAATTTTCAACATTTTCAAATGAAGTCAGACAAAAAATTAAATTAGAATTGAAATTTAAAAGCACTAACAAAGAGGGCTTTACTTACCAGATGACCTCTATAGATAATTACGAAGAAAAAAAATACAATTTTTATTACTTTCAATAGAAAAATAAGAATAATTCAAATTCAAAATTCTGTACAACAGCATTCATGAAATCCAGCCTTATACATATACACAATCCCTGCAACCATGGAACATTTTGCAAAAATTTTGCTTCCTCAGCAAGTTTTCACTACCTTTGCCCGTGTGAAAAAATATACATTCGCACACATTTTAAAGATGCACATATATGCTTACCCACAACAAAAGTTTCTCAAATCCAGTATGTACATCGGTATCTGATGACAGTCTGGCATTTAACTAATGTACTACAAAACAGAGCAAAGCTGACCGTTGCACATGCGCATCAGTGAACAGGTTGGCGGGAAATTTGATGCGCTTGTGGCAAGGGCTCACAGACAAAAGCATTTTGTTACTCTTTCGACGCGCACGTTAACGCTTTCGTTGGACTTTTGCTCAGCAAGCATTTATTTTACTTTCATTCGTGTTTTTGTTTTTTTTTTTCTTAAACAGAATCCTTCATGAGTATCATCTGCTTGACGCGTTGGTATAAAAAAAATAATAATAAAAAGAGAAAAGAACTAAAGAATGCGCATCGCATTAAAAAAAAAGGTCAACAAAAACAATCTCGCACACAACAACAAACTGGCCCAATTTTTATGCTCCAACTATACAGGTTGTGTAGCCCCATACATACATATGTATGTATGTATTTGTGGCTGAAGGTATTGTAATGCGTTTTTTCCTTGTGCAGCCGCGCATACTCGACATTCTTATGCGACTTATTGATGTGCGCTTTTTTCTGTTGGGGCTGATGTCATGAAACGCGCCAACACGGCTGCTTGTTTTTCTTCCATAACTGTCTGCCCCTCTGCATACCTTGAATAAATATCTGCCTTTAGTGGTCTTCTTTTTTGTTGTTGTTGTAAGTTCGTCAGCTCATCGCGTGCGTGATTGTGCATTTCAAATGAACGCCTCGATTGTCAAAAAAAAAAAAAAAAACATTTTTTCTTCATGGATTTTTTTTTCTACATTCTACTGGCCATTCTTTGTCTGTTTTGTTGCCACCGCCTGACTTATGTTTTATGTATGTATATATGTATTTTTTCCTTGCATCAACTTACCTGTCCAAAATCGATGGTCAGATTAACTTCATTGTATTTCATGCCACGAGACAGTGGCGGGCTCTGCCACCATGCTTCCGTGCCGTCGATGGCATATTCAGCTGCATGATTCTTTTCTGGTATATTGGGATCACAATAGTCGCAAACCTGTAATTTTAAAATGATATAAAATTTTTAATTATATTTTGTAGAGGTGTTTAATATAAAAATAAAGAAAGTAGGCACATATATGTATATATGTAGTAGTAATTTTATACACATGTAGCACTAAATTCTATTCTGAATATTACTACAGTCTCGGTAGTTAAAATTTGGAAAGAAATTTGTATTTGCAACCATTTATGGAACCTGGGATCCAATGGGGTCTGACTTCTGATAACATACAAATTTCTTTTATGATTGGTTAAAATTGGTCTAAAAGGCTTTTTCAGAGATATTAATACTGAATGGAACAAAAATTAGAAAGCTCAAAGTAATTCACTTATTGGGTGGATCAAAAAGTCCTTGCTCATGTTTTGTATACCGTTTATTTATAGAAAGGATCGAAAATAAATCAATGAAATATTCTTCGTTTCATTTAATGATCCTATGTCATCTTTCGGTCATCTAACAATTTGACCAATCGGAGAAAGACCTCTTTATCGGACCTATTGATCGCCATATCTCAGTTCAACGTTATTCCACGCAAGGAGGTTTGCGGAGAACGTGACAACTGGAAGCTGGACGACGCAAATTCAGGCGGATATGCTGATTGTGGCTAAATCTCGCTAGAGTGAATTGATTAAGGCGTACGAACATGGCTGTTCCCAAGTTGTAGGAATTTTACGGACTACGGTACTATAAGGAATGTTGAGCTTTGTTCTCAAATCTGCTCTGTGCCGTATGACATGTCCTTTATTATTACATTTTCTACAACAAATACAATATTCCTAGAGCAAAAATAAATAAAAATAATTTTTTTTTTTTATTGTTATGTAGTTTTCATTCGGGATTCCTAGTATCTTATTTTTCGGTATATTTCGGAAAGTATTGAGGATTTTTCTAGATTGTTTTTAATTGTTTCGAATTAGTTATTAGTCCTTTTTTCCTTTTCGAAATTTTTTGGAAAACTTTTTTTTAGAATTTCTGAAAACTTTTGAGATCTTTTCATATTTTCTCAGGATTTTCGGGATTTTTTGCATTTTATTTTTTAGACACCGATAATAAAATTATTTTGTGACTTAGCGGGATTTTCTTGGGATCTCGCAAAACCTTTTTGGAAATTTTCGAATATTCCCAGGCATTTTATTGGCTTGTTAGGAATTATTAATTGTTCTTCCATTACGGGATCCCACCTTCTAAAATTTCGCGACCTTTTTATAGATTTTACGAGACTTTTTTGGATTTTGGCAGGACTTTTCGGAATACTTGGTGCTTTTTGGAGTTCTTTCAGGATTTTCGAGATTTATTCAAAACTTTTTAATAAATGTTTGCTTTTTTTTAGGCGTTGATAATAAAATGAGATGCTTCATAATTTTCGGGACTTTTATGGGTTTTTCTTGCTTTACTTTTCGATATTTTTACCGAAAGTTTTTGGATTTTTCGAGACCGCTTTTCATTCCATTTCGATATTCTTTCTGTTTTATGTACTTTTCGAAATTTTTTCGGGCACTTTTAGGAGTTTTTGAAAGTTTTCTTGATATTTTCGGGATACTTCGTGTTTTTTCGGGATTTAGTTTTATTTTTTTCGGCCATTTTTTTGGAAAGTTTAAGGATTCTTCGTGTCTTACTTTTTAGAATTTTTTCTGAAATTTTGGCAGATTGCGAGATTTTCTTGAATGCTTTCAAATTAGCAGTAATTTGTTTTCCTTTCGGGATTCTTCATGTGTTAATTTTTGGTACTTTTTTGGGAAACCTTTGGGATTTTTCATAATTTACGTGACTTTTTGGGGTACTTCAAGATATCTTTGGGGATTTTTTGTGGAATTTTGTGGTTTTTCGAAACTTGTCTGGATTTTACCGTTGCTTCTCGGCTTGTGCCAGGATTTTTCGGTAATCTTTGCTGGATTTTTGGGCGGGTTTCAAGACTTTTCACGATTTTTCTTGAACTTTCAGCTACAAAAATACATTAAAATCTTTGGTTTGCCTTTTTCGATGAAGAGTTATCAATACAGTTCTGTAAATAGAACCTTTTTCCACTTCTACAGCACGTTTAAAATATTTTTTATTTTCCCTATACATATACATCTGTATGTATACCCACATTTACTCAATGTTTATAATGAAATTTTCCAGCCATGTACATACATGCATTTATTATATATGTACAAGATACACACCATTTTCTATTTTAAAACCAAAAAATACTCTGGAAATTATCTTTAAGTCAAACACATGTTGCTAATGTGTGCGCCTCATTTTTTACTTTTTGTTTGTACCTACTTAAATACACATGGGGCTTATACATATGTACACACATAAGTAGACACTAAATGCCTTAGACAAACAAAACTCAAAATAAAATTTGCTCAACCAGTTAGATTAGCATCAACTTCATTAAAAAAATTTAGAAATAAAAAAAGATATACAAACACAAATGTGCGCATCTAGATAAACAAAAAGTTGTACATTTAAGAATGTATGTATATACATACATTTTTAGGTATACAAATATACCTGCACATAAGGCTAGTATTAACTCATTGCTTTAAGTCTAAAATGATTTTACACTTTTTATTTCCAAACGTTCTACGAAAAATATACAAAAAGTAGCAAGTAATTTTTTTTTATGGGCACAAGTCGGCACGATAAGGCTTCATATGTATATACATATGTATGTGCTTCCGGTTCAAAAATATCGCGCACACACACACACTCTTGCCCATACCATCACACTCATCCAAGAGTACACAAATCAATCAGTTTTTATACCCTGGTTTCTTTCTCTTACCTGTCCCTGAATAACCGAATAATCGACGTGATCATTCTCCGTATTAGCGCCCACCAATTTACAATACAATTCCGGTCCATCAGTACCCACACCACATGTGGCCGATGCATAGACCTTACGTCCTGTAGCCAAATTGAAGTATGGTGGTGTTAGTTCGGCCAACACTAGGCTGCCGCAGCAAGCGAAGAGTAGAGCACAGGAAAGTGCCACACCCACGCTGCCACCGCCGCCGCTACGCCACCATTGTGGCAATGCCATATTTTCACTGAATTTTCGTTCGTTTTGCTTATGAATGAGCTTATCCTTCCGGCTGAAGCTGAAGCGAAGGAACTTCACACACACACACACGCCCACGCTCTTAAGCGTATATCCTTTAATATCAGCACTAATCCACTTGATTTCCTTTTCTCTATAAATCTTTTTTTTTCAATTTCACTTTTCAGACATTTTTCTTCCAGCACTTTTTTCTTCACTTTTCACTTTTCACTTTTCTTATTGGAGCCCATCCATTTATCCAACCGTCTGGATGGCCCTTCCGCGAGCAACTGAATTCAAATTTTTCAAATCTTTTCCTTCTGACTTCGGCACAGAGTGTCGATCGATGAGACGATGAGATGTTGATCGCACTGTGAGCATGAAAATGTATTTATATGTGCACACATATTTGTGGTTTGTATGTACTACATATGTATATATGTATTTGTAATGACTTTGTGCGAGCGGCTTTCGCTTATCTGCAATCTCAGCTGTTTATTATACTGCAGTGGCGACGGACAGCACGCATTATTGGTGCAACACACAACATACGGCCGGTTGGATGGGCGCAAAGGCTAAAAGTCAAGTTGGTATTTGTTGCATAAAAAATTATGTTACTGATAAGAGTTAGTTGCTTCGATGAGTGTTTAAACGTAAGTACATACTTCATTTTATGTTGCACTTCTTGAAGAGTGTGTAATGAATTTGCTTATGTGCGTACGCGTGTATGTAAGAATGTAGAAGTTATTAATCTTTGTGTTTGTATATAGTTACATGCGAGTAGTGAAATGTGTTTACAGATAAGCGACTACTTTTTTAAAGCAACGACTTTTAGTTAACTTTTTAATTTTATTGTCTTGAGGAAGGATTATTTTTTACTTTTTGTTATTTTTCAGGGCAAAAATAAGAGCAGAAAATTTGCAGAGAATAATCTTTAATATTTGCTTTTCGTGTGTTTGGCATTTATGAAATGTAAAGTAAAGATTTAAAATGATTTTTAGACTTGAAAGGAAAATTATTAAAAAATCCTGAAATATACAAAAAAATTCGCATACCAGTTAAAAGGAGCGCTAAAACAAAAATTTTGTAGAAAGTTACGATTCCAGGTTATTTAGTAAGCTAATCACTCTACCAAAGACAATTTTAAGACACGTAGTAGAGACTGGCGCCCATTGCATTTTGCGAGCGAATTAGCTCCATTGTCTTCGAACGTAACCGCACATACATACATGGACGGAAACCTCACGATCAAAAGAAGTCACTCTCTTTCGCCCCTGAAACCATTGGGTTTTTTAAGACATTAACGCTTGATCTTGTGTCTTGGTGCGTTCGCTGTCATCTTAACTTGAATGTTAATAAATGTTCTCACTCTTTCTTTAGGATAAAGCAAATTCCCATCTCTACGTGCTATCATATCTCTGGGGTTTCACTCAAATATGTTAGTGAGGTTAAGGACTTTTGGGTATGTTAGATTAGGTTAAGAGGGCGTGTGTGGAATAATCCTTACTTTCACTCGGAGACAGAATTGTCCATTGTGAATGCCTTCTTTTAGTGAGTGTCAGGAGGAGACACGTACCTATATCGAAAGAGTATTTTTAAGTCATTATTTAACTGAACCAATTACTATCCCTGATGAAACCGAGGAGATCCAACAGTTCCACCTCTGCTACTTCGCCTAGACTGTTGAAAAAGCGTGAACAAGTACTTGATTCGCTTCGTCTGTAGATCTGGACATCGATGCAGATAGTGGTAAATTGACTCTTCCTCATCCTCATCCTGGCAGCCTCCGCAGAGAGTACTCCTTGGTATTCGCCCCCGTTGGAACATTGGTGCCAGTAAGGACTATTACTGCAGATCGATTAGAGTGTCAGTATATCCCCTATCACTTCGCTACTCAGCCGCGGCCATTATAATCTTATGGTCTCACAGTCTTCTCGTTTGTTCCACAAGTCATTCGTCACGGCCACCCTGTACTCATTAATTTTCCTAACGTGATCACTAAAGGGTGGTAGTACGGAGCTACTCGCTTCTTCTATTGGCATCTCTGAGCAGCATCTAGCCATCTTATCAGCCGACTCGATTCCCTTCAATATTGATATGTCCGCGAACCCAGCATAGAGTGACGTTAATACGGCTCAGTGACGCCAGCGTGGTGCGACATCTCCATATAATTCCCGATTTCACTATTCTAGATCATATTGCCTTCAGCTTCAGCCACGCAATGTAATTGTTTCGAAATCATACGCTATGTTGGATTCTATCCGGCGTCACAGCTCTGCGTACCCGGACCCGTATACAATGAAGTTGCTATACACTTCTCTAGTAAGATCTAGGCTTGAGTATGCCTGTTTTATTTGGAGACCACTTATTTCCTCGCATATAAGCCGAAAAGAATGAATTCAAAAAATTTCATCAAATCTGCTTATCGCTGACTGAAATTTAGTAAACCTATACCACCATACGAATCTCGATGTTAGATTTTGTCTTTAAAGCCCCTATATCACAGGTTTGCTTTTCTCGCTTGCTCTTTCGTTGCAAATCTTTTGAACAGCTCCGCCGATTGCGCTACCCTCTTAGAAAAAGTAGCGTTCATTGTCGCTTTTCGGAACCTACGCCGTGTTTAGTTGTTCTACGTGGAATTTTCTTAGTATAATTATTCTAAATTTTCTCCTCTCTCAAGAGCCCTCATAGAGTTAAATAATGTTCCCAACCATGATCCATCACTATCCCATGCAACAGTTCGTACCCTCTTATTTAACTACTTTACTACTCTCTCTCTAAGTAAACTCGTTCAGTAGTCAGTAAAAATATATTGTTCAGTTCACTAATATTTTATAAATATAAATAAATAAATAAGAAATGCTTGAAAAGAACTTGGCTTCATTAGCATCAGCGTAGCCAGAATGAAATTTAGGGGGGGCTCGACCCTATTAAGCTGGTATTTCAGGGTACTATTTTATATATATATAAAGAAAATTTGAAAGTTACCCTACCCTACCTGGCTACGTCCATGTTCACTAGGATTTGCGATGGGTATCATGGTTTCCCAGTATAAGCAGATGCGTTTAAAGATGAAAATCTGAAAAATTTAGTTCCATTCGGAATGCTCAGTGTACGCTTATCGCTTTATGTATGTATGTACATACATTTGTACATATATACCGCATATCCAAAGTCGCAACTTTAATGATTATAATATTTTCTGCCATTTATGCCTCAGCGATGGTTATTTACGTTTACATATGAATGTTTGTACTCAGTGCATGTGTATGTATAACTTGTGCATGCACTAATCCAAAGATATATTCATATTATTAACACTTTTGCTTTGTTTACAATAACTCTCATTTGCTTTTTAGAAAATGCAAGCGTATAAAAATCGTGTCGATTTGACTCTCTCGCACACATGCTCAAGCTATTTCTGATTCTCTTTGTACTTCTTCTGGCCATTCATAATAAACTCTGAGCCGGCCGGCCGGTGTGGTATGGAACGAATTGGAATGGCATAAAGCAAAACAAAAATAAAGTAATTTAGAAATAAATATAACCAACTTTTTTTGTTGTGATATACAATTACACATAAATTATTCTCGAACTACTTTTTTGCTAGACTAATTATTAATTTTTATGTACCTACGAATTCTTGCTTTGTTTGTTTTTTTTTTTTCTTTTGGATTTGCGTTGTTTCTTACTTGCATTTAATTTTAATGAATTCCACATAAAAACATGGACCAATTAATATTCGTTATAGCTTTGGGGCTCGACTCCATTAAGCCAGCATTTAAGGGTACCATTTTTCATATATACATATGTATATGGAAATCTTGGAAGTGTCAACCTGGCTACGCCCATGCGTACAACAATCAATAACCAAACCAATAGTAAAAACAAATGCTACTCGCTATGCTTTACCAAGAGGTTTTTGTAAGTGTGTGGTCAATTTTCTTATCCAAAAGATTTTCGTGAATGCAACAAAGGGTTTTTCACTCAAACGATCTGGCAACACTATGCACGACTAACAGAATTAAGAGAAAATATTTAAATTACCAAGCATACATTTAGGCGTTTGTTATTTATTTTTCACTCAACGCATTTAATTCCAATTTATCGAAGTGAATTTATTTTATTTAATTTCTTAGTAATTTCCAGTTGTCTTTAGCCAACTTCTTTCAATGTTAATTTTATGTAATTTTACATATTGTAGAAATTTTGTTCAGCAGTTTTAACAATCTAGTATTTGAAAGCAGAGGAAAGAGAAGCAATGGAAAAGGTTATTAAATTTTTGTTGTATTGTGTACATTTATTAAGAGGCTTACATGCACATAGTTACGAAGATCTTCAGAACACAAGCAAATTTGGAAAAACTTATTTCAAAAAACTTTCTTTGCTTTATATAAATTGCCTAACAGGCTAACATAATACCCGCGCAATTTCTTTCAAACATTTCTCTCGCACATAAGCATGTACATTAGGGCGATTTTTTTGCGACTATTTTTTTTCACTCCTACCTCAAAATTTTGTGGAAAATACCTAAAAAAAAGCTCCCTGAAAATTTGAACCCTTAATATTAACATTAAGTACTCGCCCAAGGCGTGCAAAGATTTCCCATAAAATATACGTAAACTTTGAGTTTTTTTTTTCTTAAAAAGTCTACAGCTCAGAGGTATTTTATGGTATAATCTTGGTCAATGGTAGGTTTTCTTCAGAATTGAATGCTCTACAAAAGTATCCATTGCGATGTAATCCTAGCTGCTTCCAGCGAGGTTGTACGGATCACTATTCCCAATTTTTTCATTAAATTCTTTTTTTCTTGCCCCTATCTCGAAAATAACAAGAACTACAGAAAAAGTGTAAATGACGAATTTGTAGGAATTTCAATTTTCTACAAAAAAGTTTCAGAACACAAAATCGCTAACATCAATATTTCTTGAGATATTGGGCTTTCTATCGGTTTTGTGCTTGCCAGCCGAGGAGCGAACGCTGTTAGAAAAAACCTTTTCTAATTTAAATGTTGCTCGGACAAGGGATCGATCCTAACCATTCAGCGACAACGCACAATGATCAAGCGAAGCGATGAAAAAAAACCTTTACTCAGAAGCCCTGGTAGAAACTAACTTTTTTAATTTGTCCTTTGGTGCACTGTTGGAAACAAAAGACTTTGGCTACAAACCTTTAACTCATTTAATGGTGTATTACATTTTTGTTTGTTGTGAGTGGTTTTTATTAGTTTGAACTACGATTGAAGCCATATTTAAGCTCTGAAGTTTTTTTATTGCATCAT